GAGACGGGGTCTTGCTTCGTTACCCATACTTGAGTGCAGTGGGATGATCGTGGGTCACTGCAGCCTTGAACTTCTGGGCTCAAGCAATCCTCCTACCTCAGCCTCCCAAGTATCAGGGACTATCAGCATGTGCCACCACGCCTGGCTGATTTTCTTCTTCTTCTTTTTTGGGGGGGGTACAGTCAGGGTCTCACTGTGTTATATAGGCAGGTCTCAAACTCCTGGGTTCAAATGATCCTCCCCTTTGGCCTCCCAAAGTGTTGGGTTTAAAGGCATGAGCCACAGTAACCAGCCTCAATTTTTTTTGTGTGGTACACAACATATAACAAAATTTACTATACTAACCATTTTTAAGTGTACAGTTTAATAGTGTTAAATATATTCACATTGTTGTACAACCAATTTCCAGAACTTTTTCATTTTGCAAAACTGAAACTCAACCCATTACACAACAACTCCCCATTTGCCTCTTTCTCCAACCTCTGGTAACCACCATTCTGCTTTTCTCTCTGTGGTTTTGACTACCATAGGTACTTCGTATATTGGAAATAGTATTTGTCTTTTCCTAACTGGTTTATTTTACTTAGCATAATGTCCTCAAGGTTTATTCATGTTGCAGCATGTCAGAATTTTTTTCCTTTTTAAGTCTGAATAATATTCCATTGTTTTTCCTCTTTTTTTTTGTTGTTTTTTTGTTTTTTGTTTGTTTGTTTTTGAGTAGGCTCAGTTTGAAGGATTATAGATAACTCTTTTCTATACAAAGATGAACTGGGATGGTAGGATTATTTATTATATTCTGGTTTTGGGATTTTTTTAGTGTGTTTTTTTTTTTTTTTTTTCCTTCAGACAGACCCTTGCTCTGTTGCCCAGGCTGGAGTGCAGTGGCGTGATCTTGGCTCACTGCAACCTCCCTGTCCTGGGTTCAAGCGATCCTTCCACCTCAGCCTCCCGAGCAGCTAGGACTACAGGCATGTGCCACCACACCTGGCTAATTTTTTGTATTTTTAGTAGAGATGGGGTTTCACCGTGTTAGTCAGGATGGTCTCCATCTCCTGACCTGGTGACCACCTGCCTCAGCGTCCCAAAGTACTGGGATTACAGGCGTGAGCCACCACGCCTGGTCCAGGTGGTTTTTTTTTTTAATAAAGCTTGTCATTTTAAGTGGACAGTTCATTGTCATTAAGGATATTCACATTGTTGTACAACCATCACCACCACCCACCTCCAGAACCTTTTCATGATCCCAAACTGAAACTCTGTATCCATTAAACAATAATTCCCCATTTCCCCTCTTCTCAGCCCCTAGTAACTACTACTGGACTTTCTGTCTCTATGAATTTAACTATTTTAAGTACCTCATGTGGAATTATACAGTGTTTTTCCTTTTGCAACTGACTTATTTCGCTTAGCCTGATTATTTCAAAGTTCCTTCTAGGAAAAGTTTTTTTAGTGTTTCTTTTTTTTTAATTTTTAAAAATTTTATTGTTAGAGACAGGGTCTTGTTCTATCACCTGAGTCAGATTTTAGTGGCGTGATCACAGCTCACTGCAGCCTCGACCTCCCAGGCTCAAGGGATCCTCCCACCTCAGCCTCCCAAGTAGCTAGGACTACTGGTGTACACTGCCATACCTGGCTAATTTTTGTATTTTTTTGTAGAGACAGGGTCTCGCTACATTGTCTGGGCTGGTCTTGAACTCCTGGTCTCAAGCAGTTCGCCCACCTCAGCCTCCCAGAGTGCTGTGATTACAGGTGTCAGCCACCACATCAGGCCTTAGTTTTTTTGGTTTTTGTTTTCGAGACGGAGTCTCACTCTGTTGCCCAGACTGGAGTGCAGTGGTGCAGTCTCGGCTCACCGCAACCTCCACTTCACGGGTCCAAGTGATTCTCCTATCTCAGCCTCCCGAGTAGCTAAGACTACAGGCGTGCGCCCCCACACCTGGCTGATTTTTTTGTATTTTTAGTAGAGACGGGGTTTCACCATGTTGACCAGGCAGGTCTTGAACTCCTGACCTCAAGTGATTTGCCCGCCTCATCCTCCCAAAGTGCTGGGATTACAGGTGTGAGCCACTGTTCCCGGACTGATTTTTTTCTTGAGATAGACAGCAACTGGTTGAGAATCTTGATTTGGAACAAAGGCATTTTGAGTTTTTTAGGTGATAGTTATGTGTTACAAATTCTCCCAAGTGGTATGATATGCAGATTATAAAGGATTACAGAATTTAGAAATGATGTAATCAAAGACCTTATTTTAAACAAGGCTGTCATATTTATGTAGTTTTATATGCAGATTATTTGAAGGAATGCAAAGAAGTTATTGGACCATTGAGTTCCTTCTGACTAGTCTGAGATGGTTCTCTCAGGTAGGTTGGTTCCCAGGCCTGACCCTGAAATAGAATGCTGTAGTATGAAATACATGGAGAACTTATCTAACTCATGTATTGGTGGCCTATTGATGGAAAAAGTTGGGATATAAACTAGTGAGAAGGCTGCTCATGCTGGACAGGGTAGAAGCGGAAAAGAATAAGACATAAAAATCATTTAACCTAAGTTTATGTGGGCTGCAGTTTGTGTGAAATGTAAATATACGAATATCGGGATTGTTGAATGGAAGTAGGGATGCTTGTGAGACTAAAGTTACGTAAATGAAAGACGGAAGGAGTGATAGAAACATGGCCAGAGATAAATGGGCAATTATTAGCAACAGTAAGAATGGAAAACACAGAATTCAGCAACCAATTAAACTTCTAGAATGAGAGCACCCAAATGTGAGTGATCTATGAAAACACATTAAACAATGCAGAGATTCAGACAGGGAGAGTATTAGGTAGGAAAACAAAAGTTCTGTTTCTGACACAGTATGTGTGAAGGAGTGATGGAACAACTACATGAAGATTTTCTGGCAGTCACTGGAAATGTGAGAGTTTGATTATAGGAGAGATGTCTGAGTGCTTTCAACACATAAATGATGACTCTGTGTCTAGTTAGCCCCTTAAGTAGTGTTATTCTGATAGAGGAGGTAAGAATTCTGTTGTCAGAGGACTCATTTTGGTTTTTGTCGGGGGGATTTTGGAGACAGCGTCTTGCTCTGTTGCCCAGGCTGGAGTGTAGTGGCATAATCATAGTTCACTGTAACTTCAAACTCCTGGGCTCCAGCAATCCTCCCATCTCAGCCTCCCAAGTAGTTGGGACTACAGTGCACACCACCAAAACCAGCTAGTTTAAAAAAAATTTTTGTAGAGCCAGAGTCTTACTGTGGTACCAGGCTGGACTCAAACTCCTGTGCCCAAGCAATCATCCTGTCCCGGCCTCCCAAAGTTTTTTTTTGTTTCGTTTTTGTTTTTTGAGACAGAGTCTCACTCTGTTGCCCAGGCTGGAGTAAAGTGGCATGATCTCAGCTCTCTGCAACTTCCGCCTCCCAGGTTCAAGCGATTCTCCAGCCTCAGCCTTCCAAGTAGCTGGGATTACAGGCATACACCACCATGCCCAGCTAATTTTTGTACTTTTAGTAGAGGTGGGGTTTTGCCATGTTGGCCAGGCTGGTCTCGATGTCCTGACCTCAGGTGATCCACCCGCCTCCGCCTCCCAAAGTGCTGGGATTATAGGCATGAGCCATTGCACCTGGCCTCCAAAGTTCTGAGATTACAGGCACAAGCACTGGCCCTGGCTGAGGATGAGGTTTGTTCTGTGTGTGTGGTTTTTTTTTTGAAACAGGGTCTCACCTTCACTCTGTTGCTCAGGCTGAAGTGCCGTGATCACTGCTCACTGCAGCCTCAACCTCCTGGGCTCAAGCGATCTTCCCACCTCAGGGCCCATGCCTGGCTAAATTTTTTTGTTTTGTTTTTTTGGTTAGAGCCGGAGTCTCACTATGTTGCCCAGGCTGGTCTTGAAACTCCTGGACTCAAGCAGTCCTCCCCGAGGACCAGTGTTTTTTTGTTTTGTTTTGTTTTGTTTTTTCCAGACAGAATCTTGCTCTGTCGTTCAGGCCAGAGTGCAGTGGTGTGATCTTGGCTCACTGCAGCCTCTGCCTCCTGGGTTCAAGCAATTCTCCAGCCTCAGCTTCCCAAGTAGCTAGGGTTACAACCATCCACCACCACCACCAGCTAATTTTTTTGTGTTTTTTTTAAGTAGAGACGGGGTTTCACCGTGTTGGCTAGGCTGGTCTCAAATTCCTGACCTTGTGATCCACCCATCTTGGCCTCCCAAAGTGTTGGGATTATAGGCATGAGCCACAGCCCCCAGCCGACCAGTTTTTATTCTAAAAGTTTTTATCCATAGACTATGTACTTAATCTTGACCAGCTGTATTATAGATGCATCTTATTGGCTCCAAGGAGAACCGGTGAGAATATATTCTCAATGCCCAAATTTTTAACATACAATTCAGTACTGCAAATAGGAAGTCATTAGCTTGGGTTTTCATATGTGAACAGGAACTTTTCCATAAGGATATGAGTTGAGAGAGTGAAGGATGTGGCAGCTCAAACCAGAGGCACATGAGATCTCCTGGGGGCAAAGCGGAAGGTGATGGTGGTGGGGATGGCTAGACAAAGTCCTACTCTTTAGGAGAAAAGAAGGAAGTGCTCAAGGAGCTGACTGATAAGGAATAGTCCAGGAGGTCAGCGGGTAACCTGTAGGAAGATACCTAAGAAACTTAACACCAACGGAACAAATTAATGGTTATAATGAGAGGTGGGGGAGGAGTTTGTCAAACTTAATACATTTAAGAGCTGACAATGTATTGGACTCTCGCTATTTGCAGATACTTTTCTAAGCACCTTACATGCATGATCTTGCATGTTCCTCACAACAATCCTGTGAGGTCGGCAACGTTGTTATTTCCATTTGGGAATATTTCAGAGAGTATTTAGTTTCTGTGTGTATCCTGCACCTCCCCTTCACTCTCCGCAGCCAGAATTGCTCAGGAGTCATGAATTATAGGCATAACCTACTTAGGAAAATTGTAGATAATTAATTGTCCTTTCTCTGTCTTTTATTTCCTAGGTCACAAGGCACTTAAAGCATTGTTGAGGTCATTGGTAGATCTTCAGGAAGAGTTGCTTTTCCAGTACCCAGACACTAGATATCTAGTAGATGGGACAAAGCCCAATGCGGGAAGGTAAGAGAACAGAACCATGGAGTTGCTTATTTTCTTTTCATTTGGATAGTTTCCCATCATTTATGAAGGAGAAAGCCAAGTTCTCTTCAGGCAGATATTAATGTTAGTAAAATAGAGTCTCTTATATTTCACTGGTGGTCAGGATGGCATGTAAGTTGGTGATTAGATTTTAGATTTTTATATTTAGTTGTACCTGATGTGCTTTGTGGTCTTAGACAAAAGACTTACCTTCTCTTTAGATCTATTGGAATTAGAAGATAAAAGCACTTTCTTTTTTAGAGATGGGATCTTACGCTGTCATCCAGGCTGGAGTGCAGGGACATGATCACAGCTCACTGCAGCCTCAAACTCCTGGGCTCAAGCAGTCCTCCTGCTTCAGCCTCCCAAATAGCTGAGACTGCAGGCGCTTGCCACCATGCCTGGCTTTTTTTTTTTTTTTTGTAGAGACAGGGTCTTGCTGTGTTTCTCTATCTGGTCTCAAACTCCTGGGCTCAAGCCATCCTTCTACCTCAGCTTCCTAAAGTGCTGGGATTATAAGCATGAGCCACTTCACTTGGCCAAAAGCACATTTTTAAAATATTAATGCTTAATTAATGTTGGTTTATGAAACATTCTGTGCCCATACCATATATTCCAGTCACTGGTCACAGCCATCTCCTTTGAATAAAAACTGTTATTGTGAAAGATGGAAAAATTTCAGAAAACAGCAAAATAATTATTTTTTCCCCTTGAAATTATTACATTTGATGAAGATTTTCCCCTTTTTATTTACACCTGCTGTATATACCTGCTTGCTTTTTTTTCCCTCGAGCTTGTCTTTTGTTTCATTTTTTATCTACTGAACTAGTTGGGAGGACAAAAAAGAAGCTCACATTTGTTGAGCACCTATGGGGGTCAGTAATCCAGTGAGTGCAATTGGCAGATAGTTGGCGGTTGTATCACATTGCCATGGCAGTTGCATAGATGGTACTGCAAGTTAGCGCTAATTCTGTTGCCTACCGCTTTGAGTTGTCTTCACATTCAGCTTCTCTTGTATTTGATTCAACTAATATTATTCATCTTTCTTTAACAGTTGGTTACAGAGAGATACATTTCCCTTATTGATTTGGGGATTAAAGTTGTAGAAATATGATTGTATGTTTAATTTTTAAAGACTGTCCTATAATACTACAGGCCTGGTTCATACACATTTCTAGTAATTCTTTTAAAACCTCATTTATTTTGACGGTTTGCTTACCTTTTAAAAAATATTTTGAAACTAGTTCTTTTTATATTCATTTTAAGAGTTACATGAGGCTGGGCATGGTGGCTCATGCCTGTATTCCCAGCACTTTGGGAGGCCGAGACTGGTGGATCACTGGAGGCCAGGAGTTTGAAACCAGCTTGGCCAACATAGTGAAACCCCATCTTTACTAAAAATACAAAAAAAATTAGTCGGGCATGGTTGCACACACCTGTAATCCCAGCTACCCATGAGGCTGAGGCATGAGAATTGCTTGAACCCAGAAGTGGAGGTTGCAGTGAGCCAAGGTCGTGCCACTGCACTCCAGCCTGGGTAACAGAGCAAGACTGTCTCAAAAAAAAAAAAGTTACACAGGTTTTTGATTGATCTCATGAATATTTCTCAAAGAACAAAAGCCATCCTCATATCCTTGGTGTTATTTCAAATGGAGACAGAACAGGTAAGGCCTAAATATTCTCTGTCCTTTATGCGAGCCTACTTTTTTAAATTTAAGTAATGTTTATTTACACTGGACGTAGTATTCTTACTGGTTTTCTAGTGAGGAGATTTCTAGTGAAGACGATGAGCTAGTAGAAGAGAAGACGCAGCAACGAAGAAGGGTCCCTGCAAAGAGGAAGCTGGAGATGGAGGACTATCCCAGCTTCATGGCAAAGCGCTTTGCTGACTTTACCGTCTACAGGAACCGCACACTTCAGAAATGGCACGATAAAACCAAACTGGCTTCTGGAAAACTGGGGAAGGCAAGTGTGTGTATGCATGCGTGTATGTGTAAGATAGGTTGTGGAAACCTGAAGTTTTAAGAAATTGGAACTACAGCTCATTTATATGGATGTTGTCATGATGTAATGGTAATCATTCATTTCTATAGCAAAATCTACTGAACTTCTGGCACTGGGGTTTTTACGATTCAGACTTGGGATTTTAACTTTATTAGAAAGAATGTTTTATTCTTAAAATTCAGGCCTCGTAAGTGTTCAAGTGCTGAAAATACAAATACTTTAAAGGAGTGGATTTCAAAGCAATAATTATTAAAGTATCAGAAGTTAATCTCCGAGTGTAGAAAAATGATATGACCTGCTTAAGACTTTTTTTTTTTAAAGAACAATTATAGCCACTCACAAACTCAGTCCTTTACAGAAAGTCTCTCCTGAAAAAATGATTGTCTATCTCTCTGCTGACACAGAAAGAGAAACCAATGTAGCTGCCTTCAGCACTGATTTTCTGCATTATCTGACACTACTTAATGTTGTTGCAGGGTTTTGGTGCCTTTGAACGCTCAATCTTGACTCAGATCGATCATATTCTGATGGACAAGGAGAGATTACTTCGAAGGACACAGACCAAGCGCTCTGTCTATCGAGTTCTTGGCAAACCTGAGGCAGCAGCTCAGCCTGTCCCAGAGAGTTTGCCAGGGGAACCGGTAAGAACTCTGTGATGCAGAGTGATTATGGGGAATAGTTTTTATGAGGCTAATTAGCTGAAAAACTTGTAGCTATTACCTGTTTGTATAAGAGGTTAGTGAGAGAAAGGAAAGCAACACTACTTTACTGGATTACTGAGAGAACCTTGAGTGTGTGTGAGAGGAGAGAGTTTTTAAGAATGGGGCTTCTATTAGCTCCTGTGTGTCATCTTCTCTTAATTTTGAGTTTGATGCAGGAGTCTGGTAGTGGAAGCATTCATAGTCCAATTTTCAAAATTCAGTTTTAAAGCCACTTCTGTAGAAATGTCAGTATTGAAACACGTGTGTACTTTAGGCTCAATGTTTGCCATTTAGGTCCTTTAGAAAGGGTCCAGAAGTGTAATAGTCATTTTTTTTTGTTTAAAGGAAACATTTAAAGTTTTTTAATTATAGAAGAAATAGATACTTAATGCTTTTTTAGTTTATAGCCACTTGAAATGAAAAGTAAAATTCTCTACTCTGAAATCAGTTTCACTCCTAAGGTGAAAATTTTTTTTCTTTTTTTGTCAACTGCCTGTTAATGTAACTCCTGAGGTGAAATTTTCAATACTTAATAGTTGTAACAAGCTTACAGTTAATAAGTAATAGTTGTAACAAGCTTTTGGGTCTTTTCTATTTTTATAACTATATATGTGCAAATAACAAACATATGTAAAAATATGGTTGCTTTTTTACTAAATGAGATAGACGTTTATGTGTGTATAAATATGTAAAATATTACAACTGTATTTAAAGTCTCGCAACTTTTAAAATCTAATAAATCCTAGATACTCTTTCCATTTCATTACCTAGAGATCTACCTCATTTTTCCTAATGACCGCAAAGTATTCCATTGTATGAATATACACTGTCATTTATGCAAACAATGGATATTTTGTTGTCTCCAGTTTTAGAAACACTGCTACGGGAAAGATTCCTGTACATTTATTATGTGTTTGTATAAATATATGGATAGATTTCTTGAAGTGGAAGTGTTAAAGAAAATACACCAAATTCTGATAGATGTTGCCAAATTGCCTCCAAAAAGGCTGCATTAATTTCCAATCCCTCCAGTTGTGTTCTCTGGTAATAAGTGTTGCCAGTTGTAGAGGTGAAAAATGGTATCTTCTCATTCTAATTTATACATATTTATCATATGTTTATTTATGGTTCTTTTTTCATCAACTGCCTGTTAATGTTTTTGCCTGTTTTTAATATTGATTTTTTTGTTTTTTAATTTTAAGAACTTTTTATATCTTAAGGAAAACAGTGATTTGACTATTCTACATATTATTTATAGTAGCTACATTAATTAGATAACCTTATTGGAATTCACTCTTTTCTTACTCATTGTTGACATAGGAGATCCTTCCTCAAGCTCCTGCCAATGCTCATCTGAAGGACTTGGATGAAGAAATCTTTGATGATGATGACTTTTACCACCAGGTGAGACTTTTACACTCTCTTGTTACACATCAGGTTTTAGCATTTTAAAGCAGCTTATAGAATTCTCTGAACAAAGAAGTTGCTTATTTTGGAAGGATAGAGTCAGACAGTGAGTTAGAACTCCCGCGTTCAAAATTGACTTACAGTGTCATTGTGGATTTGTTGCTTTTCTTCTATTTTATGTTTTCCTTTTGAAATGAAAGCAGCTATAGCTACTTTGTTAGTTGTTGCTTGAGTGTAAATTATCTGTAAAACAGTTTCAGGTTTTATTTTTCTTTGAGTCAAGTGGGTTCTTCTTTCTGAGCCATTTTTGATGATGGAGGATTTGTTAGTTATTTGGTTTCTTGTCTCATTACTATTAGAATGGGACATGGAGCTGGAGGACTGGGATCCCAGAGTTCTTGAATTGCACTACTGATTCTATTATCTGTTAAATCTTGTTCTTCATGTCTTTTTGTGCCTGTTGAAGTCAGTTAAGTATGTATTGAGATTGTCTGCAACTGTTGATTATAAAAGCATAGTGCATTTGAAGACACAGAATTGTTAGAAGTTGAAATATAGTCCAGTTCTCAATATGTTTTCACAGACTCCCCCACTTCTTTCCCTGATATTACTTTCTGCTGGCATGCTGTTCTTTTTAATGATGCCAGAGACTGTTAAGATAGACTAAACATTTGGGCTATTCTAGAGAACTGAAATAATTTCCTGTATTCCTGAGTCTCTTGATAAGTTACACTTTTTTTTTTTTTTTGAGATGGAGTCTCACTCTGTTACCCAGGCTGGAGTGCAGTGGTGCAATCTTGGCTCACTGCAAGCTCTGCCTCCCAGGTTCACGCCATTCTCCTGCCTCAGCCTCCGGAGTAGCTGGGACTATAGGTGCCCATCACTACGCCCGGCTAATTTTTTGTATTTTTAGTAGAGACGGAGTTTCGCTGTGTTAGCCGGGAGGGTCTCGATCTCCTGACCTCATGATCTGCCCGCCGTGGCCTCCCATAGTGCTGGGATTACAGGCTGGAGCCACTGCGCCTGGCCAGATAAATTATACTTCTTAATAGAGTGTGTGTTAGCCTGTACCCTTTCTAGCTTAGTGGAGAATTGAGGACACTGTTCAGCAGTGATATACCAGTTATTGTTGACCCATTGTTTATCAAGGTAATTTTTTTCTCTGTCAAATTTTTAATGTGCTAACTTTTGCCAAGTAATTTGCAACTGCTTGTTGAGGGTTTAGCCATGACTGCTGTACTGTGTATATGGATATGAAGAAAAGAACTTCTTAGGAAAATTACATGTAAAGTCAATATAGAACAAGTGATTTTATGTTGGGGATACCTCTGATTTTGCCCTAAAAAGAGAAAGAGATTTTCTATTAATTTTTTTTATTCATTCTGTAATGTTTGATAAAATTATTGCTGTAAGTAAGTCTTAAAAGTAATGACAAGAGGGTATAGGAAAAAAGATTGGTGTGGCTGCAGCTGTTCCCTGTCAGAGGTCCTGATTCTTTTTTTCTCTTCTCTTATTATATTCATTTGTCAGAAGAGTAAGGAACTCTATTTTGTTCTGGAGTGTGTAAGGAAGTACCTGATATGGGATATTAATGCTGTATAATTGTGTGAGATCACGGGAGACAATCAAAAATGTTCCAATTCTCATTAACTGAAGTGTACATTGTTCGATGGAAAGTGCATCATAAATTAAATAGGCTTAATAAAATAAACTGAAATTACTGGGGAGAAGTTGCCTCTGTTGGCAGTCCTTAGTCTGAAATTTTTTTTTTTTTTTTTGCCTGGAGGTCCCTTTAAAAAGAAATAGCATTACTTGATTGGCCCTTCATCCCAATTAATAATTTTAACTTCGATAAATTCTGATTTCAGAGTTATGACTAGTCACATCTTAGCTTTTCCCCTTGCTGGTTAATTGGGGTGCTGGGGTTAATCTAAATTAAAACTTAAACTAATGGAGGTCAGCAAGGCAGCTGAAACACCTGAGTGAAACAAATGGGGCTGCCAGGCACAACTTTATCTTGGCTGTTTCCCAAGAGGGAAGTGGCAGCAAATTGGAGTTGTTTCAGCCTTCTGTAAAGGTGAATGATGGGTGACACTTGTTAATGTACAGCATCTCCGGAAGCATTCCAGATTGCTTTGCTGCTACACCAACTGCTGCCATCCATGCACAGTCAGTAGGAACTGGACCAGTTGCCAACATCTGGCAGCACAGCAAGGAATGGGTGCAAGTCTTGAAACCCTGCAGATTCTAAATATGGTGCTTAGAACTGTACAGGCTTTAATCACTTACCGCTCTTTGGCAGCAGGCTACGACAGCTTATCCTAGCCTCGTACATCACATTCCGACATCTGCTGAGCTGCAAGGCAGCTGCACATTCATTTTCTTTTCTTGCCTTTTCTCTTTGCTTCCCATTCCCCTTCTTCTTCCCACTCCCCCTACCCTTCAGTTTTCCTCCCCCTCCCCAATATGCTGCCTGGGAGAGATGATCTGTAAAGATTACTGCTTCATTGTGTGCAAGTAATTGTGGTGATGCCAGGCCCTTGACAGACACAAGGTAGCACCTGTTCTGCTGACCTGGTTAATTTCTTCTGTTGAGTGGGATTTGCCAGAGATTGGAGCTGAAGCCAATTCAGTGATAAAGCTAAAGAAAATGGCTGTATGTTTTCTGTCACCTCCCAATTAAATTGGCTTCATAAAGTGCTTTCCTTTATTTGTCAGAGTAGTAAGCCTGAGCTAAGTGTTGCATTCAGAAGTGGTTCAGTATATTACAATGGGCCTGTGAGTTTTCATTTGTGTGTGTTTTTTTAACGTGATCATATATGGAAGAGCTGGGTGGTGAATATAATACATTCCCCCCTTTTTAAAACCATACTTGAAGCCAGACTCTTTGGGTTCATGTTTTGTAAGGAAGAGATTGTAGCCACATTGAATTTTAATGTTCCATTGTAAGGGTTTAAAGGCTTACTTGGTTAATTCAGGTATCTTGAAGCTGTGTAAATGCCCTAACTACTGAGAATGATGTGTGGGGTCAGAACACTCCCCCTCTACACACACATACTCATTCACACTTTCATTCTTTGTTTCTTAATGGGCTTTAAGTTACCATAACTTTCAAAATATATTTGTATTATTTAATAAAGGTACATGTATATATGTATGTATATGTGTGTGTACATACATACATATGTGTGTGTGCGGGCCATAGAAGATAGTATCTGATATCATAAATAATCTTACCGTTTTTAGAGCTGAAAAGAACCTTAAAGGAAACAGACCCTGAGAAGTTAAGTAACCTTCTGACATCATATAGTAAATGGCAACACTGGTAGTTAATGTCAGGACTTCTTAGACCAAGTCTTGCTGTTTCCATACCTTTATTTCTTAAATATTTCATTCTTGAGCCATAAAGAGATTTTACTGTAGTATTACAGTTTTCAGTTTGTAAATAAATAAGCTTTTTTTTAATAGAACCAGAAAAAGTGTTTTGTGTTAGAAAGTAATTTTTTTTCCTTAGAAGGCAAATGATTTATTGAACTTTTGTTACTTAACAATTCTAATGAAAAAATTAGCTTTATAGTTTTGTTACCAGTTTGTTTGGAAACTGGAATTGCTGAAAGCGTGAAGTATAGCCAATAGTGAAGGTTTTACAAGAGAAACTGTTCACCTGCTTCAGAAAAGCATTGCGGGATTTTACTTCCAAACAGAATTACTTTACAGTTTGGCCTATTTCTTGTCAAAGCGCATTCCTAAAGGCAGTTTCACAAAACATGAAGGTTGTAAATGACCACGAAGGATGAGCCATTCAGAAATGTTTTCAGTGTCTGTTTGTTATTGTCGTGATCCTATCTGCTACTTTATAACATTTAGTTCTCTTCAGATCTGTTGTCTGTATCACCATTTAAGGCTTTTGTTTTGTTTTATTTTTTTAAACCATCAGATGATCTTTGACTTGATTAGCGTAAGTTTTTAAAGAATCAGGGAAGGACCAGGATTTGCTAAACACTAGTGGCGTGCCAGTCCCTGGACTAAGTAGATAGGTATTTGGCATGTGTCTTGATTTAATCCTCACAAGATCCTCATATTGTGATATAACTGCACTTAGCAATAAGCTGTATAAAGTGACTGGTTTTATTCTTTTCATATCCCAGATCGCAAACTAGTTTCTTGTCACTTCATGAGATATTTTGTTCTGAAAGGACTAATTGAGCTTAGATGTCGACAGATCAATACCTGGATTTCTAAGGGTTCATTAGGATTTTGTATGTTGCTTCTAGCTCTGTTTAGTTTTGATCTGGTTTGTCCTGTCACTTTGAATCTAGCCAAGAGTATCTAGAGAACGGCATAATAGATTTTGCTCTTTTGATGACCACTTTGATGGGTTAAATTTCTTCTTTCATTTGCCATCAGGACATGCCTATAACTGACCTTGCCACATGCTGAACTTTTGTATCTAAGACATTTGATAATGCCATAAACAAGTAATTACTAATTCAGTCAACTATTAAAAGTCGATAATGTTGAGAAATAGAGAAGAGGCAGGCTTTCTGACATGACTTTAATTAAATTGGTAAGTGATTAATATGGACAGGTGATGTGGTAGAATTGTATGCATTTAGATCTCAGTGTGAATAAGAGATGTCTCAAGCTACTCTTATGTTAATGGTGATATGATATTTTTTTAATATACTTCTTGTTTTATTTATTTATTTTGTTTGTTTGTTTTTGAGACAGGATCTCACTCTGTTGCCCAGGCTGGAGTGCAGTGGTGCGATCTCAGCTCACTGCAACCTCGACCTCCTGGGCTCAAGCAATCCTCCCACCTCAGCTTCCCAAGTAGCTGGGACTATAAACAGGTACCACCACACCTAACTGATTTTCATATTTTTTGTAGAGACAGGGTTTTGCCGTGTTGCCCAGGCTGGTCTTGAACTCCTGGGCTCAAGCAGTTTGCCCACGTTAGCCTCCCAAAGTGCTAAGATTACAGGTGTGAGCCACAG